GAGAGAGAGAGAGAGACCAGGCATGATGATTAATCATAGACAGTGTGCACGTGCAATTGCGACGTTCCACTTGATGGCTGTCGCAAAGGCAATTTGTGCGTATCGACGTTGCAGTAACGTTGCGTGTTCGATATCGAAATCAGGTTCATTGAAGTTGAAATATCGCGTATGTGCACGACATGCAAGAGGAAGTAAGCGCAAAATCGCCAGATTTTCCATGATTTTTCCCGAAAAGAAATTGTCTCTAAGAAATGGCTAAAAACGGATCGAGAAAATATCCAATAGCTCTGAGATTATTTTTAAGATTCAAAAACTGGGCTACCTTTTACATATCAATTTTGATAATAGAATCTTTTCTTAGTCACGCTTCCTAACACGTTCCGTAAAACATGGGTCATCAGTCGAGTGCTGAATATAGTTTACATTCAAGCCGTTTTATATTTTAGCTGACCAGAAAAAGAAACAGAATCATGAAATATTTCTTGCTATCGTTTTTTATAGGTATATAATTATGATGTATATTGCGATATTATTACCATTAAGCCTTTTTCGTTATAATAATAATTTTTAGAATCTTCGTTTCATTATTGCGGAACACAATTTATTTAAATTTAATTTATTTAAATTTAATTAAATTTATTTAAATATATCGCGTGGCGTATTATCGTTGATATGGCACGGAAAATGTGTTAAATATTATTCATGCATTTTGTTTTCCGAGTACTGTTATGTTTTTCTCTTGGAAACTGATTTTGAAGACTTCCGCATGCCGTTTCTTTCGAAATGCGGATATTTTCGGTACAGGAAGGATCCATCGATTTCCGGTTAATTTGTTCGTCGAATACGAGAAAATGCTTGCTCGCGAAAGCGTCGCGTTCGCTTTTCTATTAAACACAGACGGCGATTTACGACGCGGCGTTACTATCTGACGCGATATTGGATTACCATGACGTTATTACATGCTAGACACGCGCGCGACGCTTTGTTAAATTACGAGCGGGTGCATCTTTCATCCCGTTCGGAATTAAATGTCGCGCTTTGGGAGGCCCTCGTTGTTTTCAGTATCGAAACCGGTGATCACCGGCTCTATAATTGATTCCGCAAAAGCAGCGACGATAATCTTTGACGCAATAACTAAATATCGAACTTGCGGAATCTCGTGAAAACGATGACGTCAAATAATTAAAAAAAAAAAAAATTAGCTTCACTATCGATTGATTTTTATATCAGCGCGACAAAGCCAAGTATTTCACATTTAAACTTTGTTACTTGTCATCTGCGTTTTTAAAATTAAAAAACATCAACCGATAGAATCAGATATGTATTGGTATGATATGTTAAAAGATAAAATCATGTATAGAGCTAATAAATGACCGTTTCAAAAATCAATCGGCCATTTTACTGCTTTACTTTTACTTATAATATATTTACGCGTTAAGATGACGTTATAATAAGATGTTATAGATTCAATCTTTTGAGAAATTTCACGGCGCATTTATTCGCGAGGCGATTCGATTGCGCGTGATCGATAATTAATATTACACCGAACAGTGTTTTCTGCCGCGCCGTCGTACGTTTATTAATTAAATTACCACGCCTCTTAATAAATCGAAGGATCGTCGGAGCATCTAAACTGTCGATAATCATTTTTCTTTTTCTCCAGCGAGCCAATTAGAATGCTCAGCGTGGTAGGAAAATATGCGAGGGTAAATGACAAATTAACGCGACATCCTTCCACGTTGTCTGACTATAAATAACTTTTGCATGTAACGATTCTGAATTCTTCGCAAATTAAATAACTCTATATAATTATCTGTCGATGCTATACATTTTCAGTCATGTATATCACGGTATTATGAATTTTATTTCTCTCTTTTCAGTCTATTATAAAGATAGTTCTAAAAATAGTTATGAAAAATATTAAGAAAAGTTTGCTAAAGATATCTTGGAAATATCATTGAAGAGAAAAAGACCAAAGTATGAAAATATAATCAAAATAAATATTTTTATCTATCTTTTTGCATGTTGTGTATATGACAGACTTCGCGATATGTTTAAATAATTCTCGGTTCTTGAACTTTCTATTTTGACTCCGATGTTTAAAGCTAAAGCAGAAGATAAATTTAATTTTTCATTTAATATAAATACCAATCTGTTTCAGATGACGCTTATGACTGAAGCTGCATTCGTCGCAGTTTATTTATTTACCGCTCCGCTATTTTCATCTGCCACCTCAACACCTTATCGTTGAAGTACGAATCGGAAGATACAGGGGAATGCACTTACTTGGCGGTCCTGTAAAAAATGGCGCAGCCGTCGACATACTTGCGGTCGTTCTCCGCCATCGTTTTCGCGCGAGACTTGGGCGAGAATATGCCGTCGTAGCCGTCGTGCTTGAGCTCCGGCAGGAAGAAGTTGTAGAATTGGTCCGTCTCGACCTCCTGCAGGCTGATGATATCCGCGGCATAGTGCCGTATCTCGTCGAGGATTCCCTTCTTCCGGTATTCCCAATCCAGCGCCCAACTCGGGCAGTAGCCATACATCTGTCTCGTTGCGTACTTGTCGCACAGCACGTTGTAGCACATCACGGTGAATATACCTGCGGCAATCGATGAAACACATATCCATATATATCCGTTTTTTCTAGAGATGTAAATAATTAAAAATTTAGGAAGACCGATGATACGACGTATCATCTTGCGCAGGTGGGAGGACAAACGCTTCCTCCTCCCACGCACCTCCTTCTCACCGTCTTTCCTCTTCCACATTCCGGACGATGTTATCCCGTTCGCTCGCAGTCTTAAATGACGCAACGTTCACAGACCGTTTTCGTCGCGTCGCGAATAATAACGGAGTACATTGATTTACTCACGCGGGTCGGCGCGCTCGTTCCTTTCGCGCGCGATCCTGATTCCCGCGGCTTCATGCCTCGGTTCGTAAGCCATTCCATTTTCCTCGAGCTCTCTCTCTCTCTCTCTCTCCCATCTTCCGATCCTCCGCGTTCCACGTGCCGTAAAACGCGAGCAGACGGATACGTGTTGCACGCTCAGAGAGACGCGCGAGCGCGCGCGGATTCTCGCTCGAGATAAGAGGATCAGCATAAAGCGAGCTGTCTTGCCAACGTCGCCCCAGCTGTCTGCATAAATTTCCAACGCCTCTCTCCTGCCGCACGCTTTATTTAGTCTCGACGCGACTCCGCGAGTTATCCGTCGCGCGTAGTATAATACTGTGATTAGAGCGAATGCGCGAGTGCGAATCGAGCGCGCGCAACGTCACATCGAGACGCGGCCTCTTCCCTCGTCATTTGGTACATTTATGACTCAAGAAACGGCCGTCCTGTTTCTATTCTCTCTTTCTCTCTCTCT